TTTGGCCGAGCGCCAGCTGACATTTACCCGCTATGCTCTGCTGGTCGCGGCGACGTGGTGTCCTGCAGCGAGGACCTCGCGCCCTGGTCCTCTGGCAGCTCCGCGCCCGTCGCGCTCGAGTCCGCCCTGCTGGAGGCGGACCGTTTGCGGCTGCAGGGTTGGGGGGCCCATGTGCTTCGCCTGCCTGGAGCTCTGCGTCGAGATCTCGGTCTCGCTCAACCTTGCGTTGATCCAAGGCCAGGTCCCCGTGTCACCTATGGCGACTTCGTGGCCGAGCTGCTGGGCCGTGGGATGCTGCGGCTGTCGCGAGCCCGCGGCCGCCGAGGGCTTCTGGGCGTCTACGTCGCGGCCGAGAAGTCGGGGCAGCAGCGACTCATCTTAGACGCGCGCGTCTGCGACGCGCGCTGCGGGCCCCCCCCCTGCGCCGAGCTCCAAGGCGCCAGCGCTTTCTCGCGCGTGGAGGCGGGGGGGCGGCGACGCGTGGTTTCAGCAGCGGCGACATCTCTAACGCGTTCTACGCCATGCAAGTCCCTGGGGGCCTCTGCGAGCTCTTCTCCCTGCCGCCTGTGCGGGCTGGGCGTGCTGCCGCGTCTCAGCTGGGTGGCGCCCCTGTGCGCGGGTCGGAGGTGCTGCTGCTGCTGCCCGAACTCGTCATCTTGCCCGTGGGCTGGCCGTGGGTCTTCCACCTCGGGCAGTGCGTCTCGGAGGCCCCTTTCGCGCGCGCCCGCGTGGCGCCCGAGAAGCAGGTCCGCGACCACAGCCTGGGCGTCGGGGCTGGGCCGCGGCTATCCGCCGCCGGGGCGGCCTGCGTGGGCAACTATCTGGTGGCTGGCTGACGGCGTGCTCAGGTGCAGGCCGTTGTGCAGAAGCAGGTCGAGCGCCAACTCTCCTCTCTCGCCTTCGTCGTGCGCGAGCAGGTCAGCGCCGCGCGGCGGGCCAGCTTCGTCGGCCTCGACCTCGACGGGCATGGGCACTCGGTGCGGGTCTCGGCCCGCCGCGCCTGGCGGCTCCGCCGCGCCGTCGAGGAGCTCCTGCGGCGCCCGAAGGACAGGGGGCGCGCTCCTCGAGATCACCCTGGGGCACTGCGCCTGGGCCCTGCGGCTCACGAGGTGCTCGCTGGCCATCTTCGGTTCCGTTTATCCGTTCGTTCAGGCGTCGAAGGACGAGGCCCTGCCGCTCTGGCCGTCGGTCCGCCGCGAGCTCCTGCACGTGCGCTCGCTGCTCTCGCATTTTCGTCTGCTTCGCGGACGCGGAGTGGCATCCCGAGGTCGCGGCCAGCGACGCCTCGGGCCGCGGAGTCTGCCGCCGTCGCTGCTCGCCCGAGGCCGTCGCCGAGGTGGGCCGCGCGGCCGAGCGGCGGCGCTGCTTCTTCGAGGACTCGGCCCGCGCGCGCGAGCGCGCGGGTGGGTCGGCGAGCGCCGCCTCCGTGCTCCGCGATCCTGCCTGGCTGCCGCCCGAGGTCGCCAAGGGCTGGGACATGTCTTTCGGTGGTCGACCCGAACTCTCTGGTCGGCGAGGGCAGGGCTGTCGCGCGCTCGTTCCCGTGGCGCGAGGCCTGCGACATCTGCGGCGCGTGTCCGACGCTTTCGGCCGCCGGATCGTACGCCTTATCGACGACATATTTGGTCGTTGTCGCTCGCCATCGGCGAGGGCCGCCGTGGCTCTGCCCGGCAGCGCAGCGTCCTCTGGGATACCTGCGCCCTCTCGCTCGCCTGCAGGCTGCTCGTCGTTGCTGGGTGGGCCCCCAGCGAGCTCGGCCCGTCCGGGCCCCTCGCTCGGGCTGCCGTGCGTCGAGCGCGTGGATCCTGACGTGGCCGTTGGCCTTGGCGGTCGCCTCCCCCATCAGCCCGGCGCCTGCCGGCAAGGGGGGCGCCCGGCGAAGCCGCCGACGCTGACGGGCCGCCCGCTCCAGGCCGCCCCCTTGGACGATGGCGCCGGCGCCCTCGGGGCGCCGCAGCCTGCCGCGGCGGCTGCCCGCCCGCGCGAGGCGCTGACGGGGGGTCTGCAGCTGGGCGTCGCCAACCTCGAGCGGAGGTCGGTCGGCAAGGGCGCGCTCCTGGACTACCGGCGGAGGTTCCACGGCGTCGTGAAATGGTGCTCGGACTTCCACTTGGATTGGACCGACTGGGCCCAGCTGGACGTGGCCGTCGTGACCTGCGTCGACTACCGGTACTTCCACGGCCACAGCGGGCACAACGCGTCGCGGCTCCTGGCGGCCCTCATGTTCTTCGTGCCGCCCGTCGCCCGCTGGGGCGACCAGACGCGTTGCCGGGCGTCCCGCAGCCTGGCGGGCGGGGGCAAGTGCGTCCCCCGTCGCTAGTGGATGCCAATCCCCTGGCTCATGGTTGCGGCCATCGGAGGTGTCATGCTGGCGCGTGAGTTCGAGCAGACCATCGCCATGATCCTCAGCCTCGCCTGCTACCTCCGCCCGACCGAGTGCGACCTGTTGACGGCGGGTGCAGGTCGCCCCCCCCGTCGGTGGGGCCGCCGGGGCCTCGGG